TGGTCCTGCTTTGAGTAGGGGGTTGGACTAGGTGATCACCTGAGGTCCCTTCCAACTCTTATATTCTATGACTCTATGATTAAGCTGGCCAATCAAAAATTGTGATGAGGGGAAAATAACTCCTTCCCACCCCTCAGTGGGAAATAAAATCTGAAAAACAAACAAAAAAGTAAATGAAAATGGAAAATACTTATTGCTAAATGAAAATGTTTCCACCAAAAATTTTCAAAAAAATGGATAATTTTGAGAATGTCAAAATGTTTTTGAGAAAATTTCTGTCTTTCAAAAATGGAACTTTACTGGCAGAAAACTGGAACGAAACGTTTCTACTGGTTCTAGTTATGATCCACCCTTCTGGAAACAGAAGAATCTCTGTGTTAATGTGAAGGGACATCACCTTCATTCAATATTCTTGATCTTTCTTAGACAAATAATTAAAGATCCAATCTCTGTTCCCTGAGAAGCAGTGTCTTTGAAAATGACTTTACCATGAGCTCCCAGTGTGATGTTATTGCTAAAAGGGCTAATGAGATTCTTGAATGCATGAACAGGAATAGCAAGTAGGTGTAGGGATGTGATATTATCTGACATGTAGCATTAGCAAGATCACTACTGGGATGCTGTGTCCAGTTCTGGTGTCCACACATGTTGAATGGTCACGGAGGATGTAGAGAAGAGCTACAAGAATGATGCAAGGCCTGGAAAAGAGGCCTTATAATGGGATGCCAAAGGAGCACCATCTGTTTAGCTTACTGAAGGGAGGGTTAAGAGAAACAGTGATCATGGTCTATGCCGTCTCAAGGCAAATTGAAATCCAATGGCTGAAAGTTGAAGTTGGCAGGGTTCAAACCGAAAATGAGGTGCGCATTTTAACCCATTGGAACAGCTTCCTGAAGGACGCAGTGGATCCTCCATCACTCGGAGTCTTTAAATCAAGACTGGGTATCTCTTGTTAAGGGTAGGTCAACCCTGAAATTGGTGGTGTAATTACAGCCTGGGTAAACAGACTCGGTGCTAGCTTTAATTTAGCTAGAGTGGGTAACAACAGCTGTGAAGCATGACAGCCCAGACCCTGGGGCAGGCTAGCCAATTCATAGTGGACTTGTACTGGGGCTGCCATGTCTTCATTGCAACTGTTAGCCATGCTAGCTAAACTGAAGCCAGCATGGGTATGCCTTCCCAAGCTGCCATCACACCTTAATTTGCAGTGCCAACCTGCCTTGAAAGATCTGTTCTAACTCTACTGCAGGTTATGGACTGGATGCAGGAATCCCCGGGTCTGATGCAGGAGGTGAAACTACATGATCAGAATGACCCCCTTCTGGCCTTAAAATCTATGGCTATATAAATCAGATCCTCTTTTGGACCCTGATTCAGCAAGGTATTTAGCACACCCCTAACTTCATGTGTGGGAACAGCTTCATTGAAGTCAATGGGCTCCCTAATGTGTTGAATGAGGGACTTTCCTTGAGTTACGCTGCCCTCTAGTGTTCATAAGTCATCAGAAGCATTGGGCATGCTGAAGTGAGTATGCATGAAATGATCTAACCTGTGAATATTGGGAGCAATTCAGACATTGACATGGCATTGCTGTGTCTATACCATGCATGTTGACTGCTAACGTTACCATCACCTAAACATCACCCCCTTTGCTGAAACAAATCTCATGGGATTTTTATTAAGTGACTAATGTTTAGACATGAGCTGCCTTTACACTGAAATAAGAGCATCCACACAGGGGTTTGCACTGGTTTAACTAAACGAGTTTATATGCACACCTTTAATTAAACTGGTTTAGACGAGCTCTTGTGTAAATAAGACTCAGGCCCAAAGGAGTCCTCTTTGAAAGCTGCTGTCTGTATGTATGAAGTCACCAAGGACTTGTCTACACCAGAAAGCTGCACCAGTATAACAAGGTGTGAATTGAAACTGGTTTTGATAAATAAGCGCAAACCCTGGCATAGGAGCTCTTATTCTGAAATAAGACTGTCTTATTCTGTTAACTTTCCAACCACAGTGGGGAAATCAGGCCCCTTTGTATCAGATCCTCAACTGGTATAAACTGGCACACTTCTGTTGAGTAGCTATGCCCATTACACCCACTGGCTCTTGCTAGGAATATGTACTGCCTGAGTAGCTCACAGACATTTAAGTTCTCCACACAGCATCCCTGAGAGTCAGGGAAGTATTATTCCCATTGTGGGGAACTGGGGACCCAAGGAGCCAAAGACACACCCAAGGAGTCTGTAGCAGAGTCAGGATTTAAATCCAGATCTCCTTAGTTCTGGGCCAGCAGTTTAACCACAGTGTTGCTAATCTGCCCTGCAAGGTGCTGTTAGAAAAGTGGGGCTAATTCCATCTCTAGCAGAGAAATAACTGAAAACAGACCCAAGATAAATTCCCCCCCCTTGTCTATTTTATTCACAATACACACACAGTCCCAGCTCCCCTTGACCAGAGATGGACCCGACAGCAAGGACAGTAGTGGAGCTTATGTCGAGTGAACATCATTCCCAGAACTCTAGCTAAAAAGCTCAGGGTTCAAGCCCCCATGCTAAACTACTACTCTACCTGGGCTCCTTGCTCCGGAGATGGGATTCTATGGCTGAAAAAAGAAAAGGAGGACTTGTGGCACCTTAGAGACTAACCAATTTATTTGAGCATGAGCTTTCGTGAGCTACAGCTTCATCACATCTGATGAAGTGAGCTGTAGCTCACGAAAGCTCATGCTCAAATAAATTGGTTAGTCTCTAAGGTGCCACAAGTACTCCTTTTCTTTTTGCGAATACAGACTAACATGGCTGTTCCTCTGAAATATGGCTGAAAAGAGACCTGCAGTGTATTGGAAAACAAAACCAGACCTGTGTCTTTGTTTCCTGGTGACGCAGAGCAAAGGCTGGAAAGATTTTATTTTTTGTAACTACATGTGTCTTTTTGGCTGCTTGTTTTTTACCTCTGAAATGTCAGGCATGTCAAGCCACATCTCCCCTGGCTAGGCTGGATGTCTTGTTGGGGCCTTAGAGATATCGACAGTGAGTCTTCATTGCAATATTTTTGAGCTGAGATGCCTAAAGCTTGGCTCCAAAATCCACATTTAGGCACCTAAAAATTACCTAATATATTAAATAATATAATTATTTAGGTGCCTAAATATGGACAGAGGAACCCACTGTTAGGCAAGCTTTTCAAACAGGGCTGCCTATAATTGTTAACATTGATGTTCTTTTTTCACAGGTGTTGAATAGGTACTGGAGTGAAACAGGTATTAATAAAAAACCAGAAAGTTTTACAATAGGCTGGTCAAAAATCCCTTCTCCTTCCAATTGCTCAATTTCCATTTTCTTGGGATGTCCTCTCTTCACTGGTTCTCCCAGGCACTGTAGAGTCTTCTACGGTAAACTAGACCAGAATTTCTAACATAAAAAACAAGCATAAAAGAAAGCAAAATCCCTTTGCAGGTCACCTTTAACTCCAGCCAATAGCCTTTTCTGCTTGGGCCATCGCTCAGCAGCATGTGTCGCTCCAGTCCAGCCAGGTAACCAAGTGTCCAGTCAAAGCCAATGCCCAGCTAGGATAACCCACTCTGGGGCTTCCCAACCGGCCCCATGTGAAAGGGCTGCTGCCTCCATGAGGGACGTAGGCTTTGTTGTCCAACATTTCCCACTATTGCGAGGGCCAGTTCAACTCCACCTGTGGTAAGAATGGGGTGAGTGCTACTTTAGGCAGGGCTCCAGGAACAGACCAGCATTTGAAGCACTGTGTTGACATGCACAGAATTAGCTTACACAGAAAAGTGCTTAACATGCTGGTAGCCACAAGTACTCAGTCTACATTAGGGCTCCCACTTCTCACATCAATGGAAAAACAGAACCAGTGGTAGCAGCGGTGGGACACTTTCAGGCCTTGTCTACACAGAGTTTTTGGACTAGATTAGCTATATGGGATAGGAGTTTGATTTTCCATCAGAATAGTACAGTGGGTACAGCCCCTAGTGCGGAGGCACTTATATTGGCATAAAGATGTCTTATGATGGTAGAGTTTATTCTCCTTCCTTTATGGGAACAGTTATACTGAGAGAGGACACCTTTGTACCAATACAACTCATGTGATCTTCGCCAACTGCTCCATCTCAAGTGTTGGGACAAGATCAGCAATGAGGATATTTGTAGCCAAACCCAGCACCTGCTTTCATCAGCCCAGGTTCAGTTTCGGTGGCTTTCTTGGTACTGATGTATTATTAGGATGAATTAATAATACTAATGAATACTCCTCGGGGAATTCTGCACAACTGTGCATTCGCAGAATTTATGTCCCCCACAAATTTCTTTGCTTCCCTGCAGAAAAATGACTTTCTGATGGGGAAGCAAAGGGAAGCCACAAGAGAGATCATGAGACCCTCCCCAGCAGTATGTTTTGGGTGCCCAGGGCAGCTGGCAGAGAGGTAAATCACTGTGGGGCAGGAGGCAGAACTGAGGAAGAGCCGGCTGGTGACTCCTACCCTGTGCCAGGCTCAGCTGCTAGTCTGGGTTGGGCTGTGGAGGACGGGACTTCCTCTTCCCCTGCACAGCATCCAGGGCCAGCTCAGACCCATCCCCAGATTTCTCCCACAGCTGCAAGAAGCTCTGCAAACTCCCTTCCCTGCCACTTCCTGCACTCATTGCTCCTCAGCTGCAGGGGGAGGGATAACTGTACAGAGAGCTTCTCCCTGCATCCACCCAACCCCTGTGCATGCAGACCCCCTCATATCCAGATCTTCCCGCTGACATTCACCCCCCTGCACCCAGAACCCCCCAACGAGCCCCACTCCCACTATACCCGGACCAACCCAACGAGCCACCTACACCTTGATCCCTACCCCACCAAGTCCCAACCAGTCGCACATGGATCCCCAGCCCACTGAGCCCCACTCCAGCATCTGGACCGCCCACTGAGCCCCACATACCCAGACCCCCCTGCCAAGCTCTATCCCCCTATGCCCAGACCCCCCCTGCTGAGTCCCAACCACCTTCACCTGGATCCCCTGTCAAAGTCCCATTCCCACTGCACCAAGAACCCCCCAGCAAGCCCCTGTGCATCCAAATCACCTCCACACCTGGATCTCCCACTGAGCCGTCCACACCCAGATTGCCCCACAGAACCCTCTCAACCCATAACTGCATTCCCCCCACACTAAGATCCTGCCTTGCTTAGCCTACCTGGTGCATCTGGCACGGAGGGGCAGGGCCATGGGGTGTTTCTGGGGCAGGCCCTGTCCTTGCACTATGTCAGGATTGGGTGACGCCTCACCGCTGAGTCTGTGTCCCGGGAGGGAGCTGCACAGTGATCTCCCACCTCCGTACAGCCAGTGGCCAATGCTCCCTAATGCCATGCTGGAGCCTCCACATTTATTTGACAAATAAAATTTTCAGAATTTTAATTTTTTTGGCGCAGAATGCCCTCAGGAGTAATAATGAATTACGAAGTGCGGTTACCAAGGGACACTGCTACACAGCTAGCGATCACGTGGTTGTCAAAGACTTTGATAAGCTCACCAGTGACGGACATAGACTGACCATCCAGCAAGACCATACTGAGGATCTAGCTACAAATTGATTCGGGTGGCGCTCAATCTGCAGGGAGGTTACACCCCTTTGGGATTTGCTGTGATGATTTTGATAACATTCATACTAAAGGGGGTGAGGGTTACACTTCTTTAACTGTACCCATCGAGTTAAAAAGCAACTCAACTTTGATGCATAGACAAGGCCGAAGTCTACTGTAGAGAAAGGACTAATTTATCACTGGGCATAAATGGGCAGAAATCCCTGGATGTCCATTGACACCAACAAAGAATCTGACCTCTAACAACAACAGATTTCCTGGTATGTAAATACCTCACAGATCCTTCCAAAAAGTGCAGCTGATGAAGCTCACGACCTTCTGAGCCCCAGCTTGGATAGCTAATTTCAGGAGTGACTAGCTTTCTTCCTTTACAGAAACTCACCCCCTCCATATCCCTAGAACAGTGGAGAGCAGGTTCTTGTCCCTCATGCTCTGAATTAGGATCGGGACTGGCAGGGCGTGTGTCTAAGGGAGATTTTCACACACGCAGGAAGTCGTTTGGAAGTCAACAGCCCCAGACTGCTCCATGGAGCTGGTAGAGGGCTTTGCTGAGGTGTTTGCCCCAGTCATCTCCTGCAGCTGTGAACTCCACAAGTTAATCACACTCTACCCTAAGGTTTTCTGTCTCTCATTCCTGCTGGAGTCAGGTGCATTACACACCAAGCTCTCTCCACTTCCCAGGCTCTCTCCATGCTGAGTCCCCTGCATTTCCCCTCCTGGATGGGATGGCTTGCGGGGGGTTCCGTGTGGCAGAGTTTCTTCTCCTCCTGGGTCCTGTCTGATCAGGAGGCAGGGATAGGGCATGGAAACCCAGAGAAGGAGTGGCAGTAAACTTGGTCCCATCCTCCTCAGTCTGGAGACCCCTAGCAGTGCCATATCTGCCCCACCAGCCCAGTCCACAGACATGCCAGTCCTCCATCACCCACATCCCTCTCTTGCTCCCACCACACAGACACTCCAATCCCCAAACACTTCATTTCCCCTCCCAGTCTGGTTCCCATCTTCCTCGCCACCTCCTGCCCCACCTGCCTGATCCCCAGTTACTGCCTCCCACCCGATCCCCAGATACTGCCTCCCGCCCCAGCTCCGATCACCCATTCGCCCTTGCCTCCACACTCCTGTAACTGCACTAACCGCAGTGGGGTTACTCCTGGTTTACGCGGGGGTGAGCGAGAGGGGAATTGGCCCCAGTGACTCCAGTGGGGTTATTCCTGATTTACACCAGGGTGAATGAGAGGGGAATCAGCCCCCATGACTCCGGTGAGTATACTCCTGATTTACACTGGAGTGAGCGAGAGGGTAATCCGCCCTCAATCACACACCATTTAACATTCTCCCTCTCTTATTTCCACCCTGCCCAGCCCCCTAGTACAGCCACCACTCTGCTCTACCTCCTACCTATCCTACCTACCTAATCTACCTTATCTACCTATATCCTCAGGGCTGATCCAGACCCCCAGTGACATGGAGCCCTTCAAGGGGCTCCAGACTGGGACCTTACACTACACCTGTCCCTGTGGCCCCAGAGTGCCCACAACGGGGTTGCCCGCTGCTCTCCTAGAGGTCTCAGCTACCCCTGCAGGTCGGCGATCCCCATGGTCAGATCCCTGTGAGGTAAGCCCCACTAATGCTCTGGCTGGCAGTGCATGGGGTTCACTCCCATGCCCAGAGAGGGGCAGCCAGGTCCAGGTGAGCTAAACCTCCAGCATGGGGGGGTTCCTCTCCCAGGTAAAGGGGGAAGAGGAGTTGATCTCTAGTAGGATGTGATCTCCTCCAGCGGCTTCTCCTCGGTGTGGCTCCTCAGGTGGCGGTACAGGTGAGAGCTGACGCTGAAGCGCCGTCCACACTGGGGGCAAGGGAAGGGCCGCTCTCCGGTGTGGGTGCGCCGGTGCTTGGCCAGAGCGGAGCCGTCAGCGAAGGCCTTTCCGCAGTCGGGGCAGGCATGGCAGGGGGCTTCACCTGCGTGGGCCCGCCGGTGCTTGTGGAAGTGCAGGGTGCTGTTGAAGCTCTTGCCGCAGTCGGTGCAGATGTGGGGCTGGCCGCCGGCATGGGTGCGCTGGTGCCGGTAGAGGTGGGAGGTGCGGCCAAAGCGCTTGCCGCAGTCGCCGCACTGGTAGGGGCGCTCCCCAGTGTGGATACGCTGGTGTCGTTCCCAGTGGGAGCTCCAGGAGAAGCTCTTGCCACAGTCGCCACAGCGGTAGGGCTTCTCGCCGCCGGTGTTGGCAGCGGCGGCACCGTGCAGGCTGCGCCGGTGCCGGGCATACTGCGCCCTCGCCCCGAAGCTCTTGCCGCACTCCTCGCAGTGGAAGGGCCCATCCCCTAGATGCAGGCGCTGGTGCTTGACCAGGGCCAGCCCATCGCCAAAGCCCTTGCCACACAGGGTGCATTTGTAGGGGCGCAGGCCGGTGTGGGTGCGCTGGTGCCGGTCGAAGTGCAGGGTGCTGTTGAAGCTGCGTCCACAGTAGGTGCAGATATAGGAGCGGCCCCCAGCGTGGGTGCGCTGGTGCCGGTAGAGGTGGGAGCTGCGGCTGAAGCACTTCCCGCACTCAGGGCACTGGTAGGGCTTCTCGCCGGTGTGGATGCGCTTGTGCCGGTCGAAGTGGGAGCTCCAGGAAAAGCTCTTCCCACAGTGGGTGCACTGGAAGGGCAGGCGCCCCGTGTGCAGCCGCTGGTGGGTCACCAGTTCCGTGTTGCGCCGGAAACTCTTGCCGCACTCCTCGCACTTGTAGGGCAGCCCCCGGGGCCGAGGAGTGGCAGGGTTAGGGGCACTCGCTGGCACCGGTGGTGGGGAGCTCTCGGGGCATGGGCAGGCCCGCTCGGCGGCATGGGCCCGCTGGTGGCGGTAGAGGTTGGAGCTGACATTGAAGCTCTTCCCGCAGTGCAGGCAGCGGAAGGGTTTCTCGCCAGTGTGGGTGCGCCGGTGCTTGCTGAAGTGCGAGCTGCAGCTGAAGGTCTTGCCACACTCGCCACACTCGTAGCTCTTCTGCAGCACGATGATGCTCTTGAAGTTCTGGAAGCTGGCGCCAGCTGACTTGCCCCCGCCGCCCCGCCGCTGCGCCGGCTTCCCGGGGGAGTCGATCTGCTGCACCACCGTCCAGCGCAGGCTCTCACAGTCTGGACCCTGCTCCTCCGGGCTCCTGGCCTCAGCCCCCTCCAGCCTGCCCAGCAATGCTGGATCCAATTCCACGATCTCGGGGCCTTCCTCCCCGGCATTCTCCTCCTCAGTCTCACTTGCTGCCCTGTCCCCGGCTGGGGTAGGGAGAGAATCTGCACAGGAGTCAGGCCCTGCACAGGGGAGTGGAGGAACAAACCCAAATAACTGCTGGGGCACGCTGAAAGACCAGAAGTCAAATCTGCCCTCCCCCCACCCCAAACCCTTCCCTAGAGCAGGGAGAAGAGGGGACCCACCCTGCCTCAACTTCCCATCTGCAGGTTCAGGGAGAAGGGAGCTACTGCCAGGGGTCAGGCTGAGTGGATGGGAAGCCCGGAGGATACACCTGCTGGAGACATGATCCTGAGGGAGCTGAAGGGGATTCTCACATTGATTTAACTCTTTCCTCACTTCTCGGGCTCTTATTTTCATTGAGCTTTGGGATACATGGTTCTTCCCCTTGTTCCCTTAGGGAGACCTCAGTCAATAGTGGGACTGGATAGACGTTTGCCCTGTCTTCTCACCCTCACTCTTGCCTAGATGTCCTCCCAACTCTGCTTCTCTTGTGGAAACCTGTCCCTTTCCTCTGTCCCCAGGAGTCTGAGGGGAGTCTGTCCCTTTCACCACACAACCATCCTCCTTCCCATTGTTCTGAGTTCTGTGGAAGGGTCCACAGGAGAACACTGCTCAGAAGCTGACCTGGCAGCTGCAAAGACCCCACAGCCTCCATGGGATACTTACTCAGAATCATCAGGGGATCATCATTCTCCTGTATGCCACCCCTGCACAAAGGTTTCTGATCAGGATCCACAGCAGCCCACTGATCCATGGTGAGATACACAGACCTCGAAGGCCACTAGCCCCTGAAACAAGAAGCATCCCCTCCTCTCAGTTCCACAATCCCATAAGGGCCTGGGATTGCTGCCCCTGCACCAGTCTGCTCGCACTACTGCTAAAGTCTACATAAACCCAAATGACATGCCTTGTTATTTCAAACCCAGACCTGTACCCCGTGTCATGAAACAAAATGGGGCAGAGCCCCTGGCCTTTCACCCGTGACCCAACCCCAGGTGACAATCTGCAAAAATGTTCACAGATGCTGCCTAGTGGAATCTGGGAACATTTAAAAGGTTTATACAAAGGTTTAAAAGTTTTTGCAAAGTTTCATATAGTGAGAGTTTGGGTGTCTATAAAAAATTGGGGGCCAGATCCTCATCTGGTGTAAATCAACTGTGGCTCCACTGAAGCCAAGGGAGGAAGACTGATTTACACCTGCTGAGGATGTGACCCGGTCTCTCCCTAGAGCCGGAAGGGCAAGGCAAGTGGGGAAGCTCATGCATGCATTTTAGTGGCAGCTGGCTGGAAGAGGGGAGAGGATCTGCTAAAGCAAGTATCTGAAATCTTTGCAAGTGCAGGCAGCAGGCAATGCAGATTAGGGCATATATGGCTTTAGAATTCAAAGGGGAAGAAGACACAGAGATGCCCAACTCTCCTTGAAAGACAATGGGAGTCAGGTACCGATCTCCCTAAACCTTCAGAAATCCCAGCCTTTCTACCGAGCTAGGGTATTTCCTAACAGGGTAGCTGAAGAAGAAACGGACCAGTGCCGAAAGGAAGACTCCGAACAAAAGCCCTAGCATGCAGGAAGGAACTTTGCTCCCAGTGTCAACGTGACCTCAGGAATCACTCCCCGTGGGGCAAATTTTTGCTAGTACCAGTGGGAGTTACCAAACTTTTGGTTAATAAACCAGTGGCTAACAGCTATTGTTCCGCTGGCTGGCTCGGCTCCTGCAGGGGCTCAGGGGAGCCGGAGCCTGGGGGTGTCAGTGAGGGGACTGGTAGAGATGGGGGCCGTGGTTTTTTTTCTGCCCAGCTCCAGCCCTTTCCCCCCGGGGTCTTTCTCAGTTACCTGCAGGCTCCGGCTCGGGAGCTGGTGTCGGCAGAGCCCGGGGCTGCTCTAGGACGCCAGGGCGACCAATTGCAACAATGAGAAAGTCCCTGGCTGGCAAGATCACACCTCCCCGGCGCAGCCCGGCTTCCCGGCTCACAATGGAGGCACCCTGATTTTTTTGCAGCTACAATGAAAAAGAGCCAGCCCCACCACGGGCTGGGGGGATCCTTCTGTTCTGTATTGTCCCCCCTTCCTGTCTCCCCTCCTCCCGCCCAGCACCTAGCTACAGCCACTCTCAGCTGCTCCATCCCCTTCCTGTGTCCTTCCCCATACCCAACCCGGGCTGCAACAAACCCGGGCGCTATAGGACTTTTTCTCACGGCACTGAGCGGCCCAGGGAAGCCCCGGCCCCTGCCGCCCGACATCAGCTCCCTGAACCGGAAGCTCCAGGTAATTGAGAGCGAGCGAACTCGGGGAAAGTGCTGGGGATGGGCAGGAAAGTGACTCGGGAAAGGGCTGCTTTCTACCGCTCCGGAGTCCCAGCGCTGCCGCTGCCCGCCCGGACACACCCCGGCTCTGCCTGCCCGTAGCGCCTGCACCAGCCCAAGCAGCCCTGGGAGAGCCAACGCGCCCCCCCCAGACCAATGCAACAATAAGCCCGTCTCCCCAGCCAGAGAAAGGAAGAGGGTAAGGCGACGGGAAGGGGCAGCAGGAGCAATCTGAGGAGGGAGGTTCCCGGCTCCCAGCCCTGCCCAGCCCCATTCCCTGCAGCACCCGGGCAGATTGAACTTTCCTGGGACAAGGTGAGGAGCAGGGAGAGGAAAAGCCAGTTGCCCGCGCAGCTGGGGACCGTGTGTGTGAGGGGGTGTCCCTGCGATCAGGGCTTCTCAACCTTTTTCTTTCTGACCCTCTCCCCCCCGCTATAAAAACTCCATGGCTCAGTTGTGCCACAACCATTGTTTTCTGCATATAAAAGCCAGGGCCAGCGTTAGGGGGTAGCAAGCAGGGCTATTGCCCAGGGCCCCAAACCACAGGGGGCCCCTGTGAAGCTAAGTTGCTCAGGCTTTGATTCGGCCCTGGGTGATGGAGCTTGGAACCCCAGGCTTTAGCCCATGCAGTGGAGCTTTGGCTTTCTGTCCTGGACCCCAGCAAGTCTAACACTGGCCCTGCTTGGTGGCCCCCCTGCAGCCTGCTCATGGTGCCCCAGGGGGCCCTGGACCTGTGGTTGAGAACCACTGCCTAGGGTTGCCAACCCTCCAGGAATTAAAGATTCATAGTTAAAGATTCTGTCATATGAGGAAACCTTCAGGAATACCTCCAACCAAAATTGGCAGCCCTAGGGATCGCCCAAAGTGGCACCTTCGATTCTGCATTTTTCTAGCATTTGGTTCAGAAACTCTTTTACTGGCGGGGGTGGGGGGGTTAATATAGGGAGAGGGGCTGGATCTGATCTGTAATAAAACGACTGAGCATGGTCCCAGGGTTGCAGAGTGTCTGTCTGCAGGGAAAGGCCAGGGGAACCGGGGGTGTGAAATTGACTAAAGCCCCTTCCAAACCTCTCCAGTCACCCTTCTCCTCATGACAGGCTGCAGAATCACATCCGCTTTTTGTTCCAGCTCCTCCCCTCCTCCCTGGCAGGTTGGGCTCACTTGAGCACCATCGCTAGGAAGTTTCAACCCAAGACTTCTTAGCCCTGCCATAGCCCAAATATGGTCCCTACCGCTACCAAGGGAAAGGAGACCAGAGAAATGGGAGTGCAGGGAGCTCATGATGTGCCTGGCTGTGCTCCATTAGAATAAAGATCCTGCCCCAATCCTGTATCCCTGCTGTCAGTGGTCTACTACATTTGTAGGGCCAGAGAAGCCATTCAGGGGGAGATGACTGTCTGGTACTCACCCAGAAATGCGGGTTGGCTTGGCGGGGGGGCTAGAAAGAATCATATGGGAATGTATAACCATCACTTTAAGGGAGGGACATGTAGGAGAGAGAGAGCAGAGGGACCGACTTAGGGTTCCTGTGGCTGAGCTGGTGGGATTGTGGCTGGGACAGCAGGTTCTGAATGAGGGTCTCTGGCTGTTTCAGGGACTGTCAAGGAGGCGGCTGTGTATTCCACCGAGGGGCAGTGAGTGAGCTAATCTGGATCCCACAGACGAGATGCAGGAGAACTATGAGAATGTGATCTCATTGGGTAAGGATCCCTGCACCCTCTGGTGTTAGACGGTGGGGGTGAGGGGTGGGAGGTGTGTCCCCCAAAGTGCCTGGGTCAGATTCTCCCCTCCTCTGTAGCCTTCAGGGGGATCAGCCCCATAGTCTGCAGAACCCATTTGAGAGAGCCTGTCCCCTCCATGCCTCCCAGATTCAGGAACATAATACTGGTGGTGCTAATATATGGATTGATCCCTGGGTGAGGTTCTCTGGCCCTTGTTAGGCAGGAGGTCAGACTAGATGGTCATAATGGCCCTTTATGGTCTTTAAATCTATGAATCTCCTCCTCTCCAGGGCTTTCTATGTGGTGGTGCAGGCTTAGCTACTTGTCCAGACACACAGACAGTGTCGCTGCGCCTCCCCTTCCCAGGACTGGCTCCACCCATAGGCAAGGCTTTGGAGTGGAGCCCGCGGAGCAGCTCCGGAGCAGTGGAGCTGCAGATTTTTGCCTGGAGCTGGAGCGGAGCCGGAGCACAACTCCAGAGCCCTGCCCAGGGGCAGGTTTAGACACAGATGAGGGGTTAAACACTTAGTGCTGTGACTGCATCATCATATCCCCTGGTCTATGGGGATATGACCCCTCCTCCTCCAGCAAAATCTGCCCCTCCCACTCCATGAGCAGATTCCTATCTGTTTCGATGCCAGGTCCCCCCAGCCCAGAGTTAAAATAGTAGCATGGTCATTGTAACAAATGACTATTTCTGCAGCATCATTGGGATGCTAGATACTTTATAGAAATAGAAGAAGGGATGATTCTTTGCCCTCAGAAGTTCACAGTATGTTGGAAACTGGGGCGGGGATAACAACAGACAAAGGGTGGAGGAGAGCTACTCTAAATAAAGATTCTGAGATCCATTTAGCTTTCATTGCCTTTGCATCATTTTAGTGCCAGATTAATTTGTCCTTCCCCTTGGTTTCTTATCCTGGGAGGATTATACAGAGTTTTGCTTTAGCAGAAACTTAGGTTACTAGTTTAGCCCTCCTTTCCCCCTAAACAACATCACCATCACTGTTAGGAGGAAACGGTTAAGGTTGAAGGTGTATCTCAGATGAGAGGCCCTGATTCCCAGAAAATGCATCCGATGAAGTGAGTTGTAGCTCACGAAAGCTTATGCTCAAATAAATTTGTTAGTCTCTAAGATGCCACAAGTACTCCTTTTCTTTTTGAGAAAATGGATTGTAATTAATTTCCACAGGCTAATTCTTCTACCTCCAGAAGGAGCTCAGAAGAGTGAGGGTCAGATCCTATTTAGATTGAAAGCTCATCAGGGCATGGGCTATATCTTACTCTGTGTCTGTACAGTGCGCAGCACAGTGGGGACCCTGATCTAATTTGGGATCACTAGGTGCTACTGCAATACAATTAATAATAATTAATGAAGTTAGCAAGCTAATCCTGCCAATTGCTGTAAATCAGCAGGCGCTTGCCAGTTTATATTAGCTGAGGATCTGGCCTTGAATGTCTCAAGCTCACCAGTTACTACTAGCAGCACTTCACTCCTGCTGTATATTTCATCTACATTAGCTATCACCCCTGCTTCTTGCACCTCTCCAGCCAGCCTAACTTTAATCACTTTTCATTTGCACAAATACATGTAAATTAAAGAGCATATTAGTAATGATTGTAAAATCCCATCTCCAATAACTATTTCCTAATGTTTTTTGTTCACCAGTTTTCCACTTGTTTTAGTGTTGATTTCTCTCTTGCCATATTTCTTTATACTATTTTATTTTCATTTGATTCCGAATCATGAATGGTGCCCAGACACTGGCTCTGAACCCCCTGAGAATGATTTAATGTTATAAGCCCAAAACTGCATTTGTACCAAGTGGCAGATCATAATCATCCATATATCAGCCTCCACTGAGGCCTTCTACCTCTCTTCACAGCCCAGGAGAAACAAATGCAGCATGTCTCGAAATTTAGCAAATCTGGGCCATTTTGGAGTTTGTATATGTATAATTAATGTGTGAATGAAGAGTCGCCATACAGCCTGAATGTACAGAGACACCCTTGTTTTTCCTTGTTGTCCCTGTGTTTTGGGAACTTCTTTTGGAATTCTAGAAATGTGCCTGTTTTTAATTTCATCAGACAAAATATTTGGGTTCGTTTATAGTTACAAAGTGTTTGTTCCAGATGTGTTGCTCTAGTGGTAGAATTGACTCTGTGTTTGCCTGGCTGGCGGAATCAGGTTTGGAGTTGTTTGGAGGAATGGTGTTTGGAGTGAGGAGAAAAGTTGAATGAGCATAGATCGTCTCAGAGCTGTTCTTTTGCTCAGAGTGAATGCTAATGACACTCGGTCACAATCTCATGGTAAACTCATGCAGACACTGAGTTACTGAGAACAATCTTTTACTCCCACGTGGCTGTTGAGTTGGAAGCAGTCAGTAGCAAAATCAGCCCTTTTTTTTTTTTAAAAGTTCTCTTGTTTTTGCAATAACTATTTTGTGACTCTAAAAAAATTCACCACAGAAGTGCTCTGGTTTTTTTTTTTCAAATATAATCAGCTTAAGGCATGAGGTATAGAAAGAGTTGTAAAGTAAAAAATAGAAATAATTAAGACTAACAATTACTAATAAAGAAATATGAAGTAAACAGAGAGATCATATGCACTGGAAAAGGCCAAATATAGTGTCCATCTATAAAAAGGGAAATAAGTACAACCTGGGGAATTACAGACCAGGCCATTTAACTTCAGTACCTGGAAAGATAATGGAGCAAATAATTAAGCAATCAGTTTGCAAACACCTAGAAAATAATAAGGTGATAAATTACAGTCAGCATGGATTTGTCAAGAACAAATCGTGTCAAACCAACCTGATAGCTTTCTTTGACAGGGTAACAAGCCTTGTGGATTGGGGGGAAGTGGTAGATGTGGTATATCTTAACTTTAGTAAGGCTTCTGATGCTGTCTCGCATAACCTTCTCATAAACAAACTAGGGAAATACAATCTAGATGGAGCTACTATAAGGTGGGTGCATAACTGGTTGGAAAATCATTCCCAAAGAGTAGTTATCAGTGGTTCACACTCACGCTGAAAGGGCATAATGAGTGGGGTCCCGCAGGGATTGGTTCTG